CAAGGAAACAGAGGCTATCGATCTAGACCGATTCCAACCACCCAAATTGATACAATGACATCACACGTGGTGGTCCTTAGCTACAACCATTGCANCTAATAAAGATAAAACTGGTGAGACATAAAATGAAAACCCTCAAATAAAGTATATTAAGTCATGCATGCGTTCCATCATCATGACTTTAATCAAACCACTGTTCGTTGGAACCTTGTTCGCCAAAGCAAAGATTACACTTCTACCAATGGGAGGTTAAATCTCATTGGAGTTTTCCTTAATAGTGATGGGTCAACTTAAAATGATGTGTTTTGCTTGTTTGCCAAAGCAAAGGTTAATAAGCACATCATAGGCATAGAAGAGAAGTACACTTGTTGTGTGTACATGGAGACTTGTAGTGTCCACTGTACTGATATTGAGAATCACACTTGAGGATGATGGCTAGGCCATTGAATTTTGTGATTGGCTTGTTAGCTTGTTTTGCATTTGAGGTTGGTAGTGGGAGCTATCAACTAGTGTGGATTAAGTTTGTTGGCCTACCTAATCAACTCATTTTGGCTTGTTCACCAAAGAAAGGTTTGAAATGTGCTAGATGGGATCTCGGTCCACTAGGAAAGCCAACGGGCTTTTCCGAGTTAATAGTGAGGGCTATTAGCTTGAGGAAAATAGGGGAGCGATTATATGAACAAGATTGAGATTTTGGGATGCAGACTTAATGAATGTTTAGCAATAAACCTAATATTACAGTCTTTGCCAGATTCTTACTCTCAATTTGTCTATGACTTCATTGAGGATGATAAAAAGAATACCCTTTCCGAGCTTTTGGATATGTTAAAGGCTGCTGAATCAGGCATGAAAATGTTAGAAACATTGATGTTGGTTGAAGCTAACTCAAGTGAAAAGGAAAAGGCTTAGAAGTCATTTGAAGAAACTGGTATAGATAGGAAGGGCATTTATCCTCACTGTGGGAATCCTAACCACTAGAGGAAACATTGCAAGGCCTTCCTAGCAAAAAGGAAGAAAAATGTTACTTTTTTGTCAAGTATATTCTTGATTTAGATTAACTTCTCCCGTCAACATCTTGAGTCATTGACACAAGATGTGATACTCACATTTGTTCTGATGTGTAGAAACTACGATAGAGTAGATTGTTCACCGAGGTAGAGGTGGACCTATTAGTTGGAAATTTAGTACGTGATGCTACATTAGCTATAAGATCTTATCATCTGATTTTGCCTATAGGCTTGTTTCTAGGAACTTGTGGATTATTATGATCTTTCTTTAGTTTCTATAAATTATATTTCTGTGTCCACTTAGGACGAGTGAGAATATTACTTTACTAATGGATTGTTGTCCTTAAGTATAAATAATATTCTTTATGGAACTATTTCATAATAATATGTTCTTAAGATAGCAATAAGGATATTCTCAAAATAACAACTATGCCAACTGTGGCAAGTTGAGTTAAACATACTTGAAGGAAAGTGGGATAGTATCAAAACTCACCTCTCCGTATACACCCTAGCATAATGGTGTGTTTGAAAGAAGGAATATGACCTTAGTTGAAATGGTTAGGTCCATGATGAGTTTTTTATGATTTGCCCACATAATTCTAAGGTTATGCCCTAGAGACTGCGACTCCCGCACTGAACTGTGTGCCGTCAAGGTTTGTAGATAAGACTCCATATGAACTATGGAATGGGTGAAAGCCTAACTTGTCTTATCTAATGATTTGGGGCTGCGAAGCTTATGTCAAGAAATTGACTTCGAAAAGCTGGGCTGTAATGACTCTTTCTAACTTATATACTTGGGAAATATAATACTTTGAAAACACATAAACATGTAAGTAAAAGATAATGGGCCTGAAAATTTCTTTACTTTATATATAAAATTCTTTACATTAATAAAAGTCTCATGCACATAAGCTCAAAAATAGTAGACAGTGGTGCCATTTTCCCTCCGTCTCTCGATGTCCATCTGACCGCTTCTCACCTATTTCCTGCAAAAACAAAGAAATCAATGGAGTGAGCACTAATTGCTCAGTAAGTAAACCCGCCGTACTAGCCTTTTCTCTCCGTTGCTCACATTCTAATTTCTTTCCTTACATTACTCTTCTCTGTTCTATCCCTATTTTTCTCTATTCTTATCTCTCTGTTCTTCCTTTCTTTCTTTCTAATTTTTCAATACTTTTTTTTTTCTTTCTTTCTAATTTCTCACTACTCATGGTAGTAGGCATAATGCCATGCATAAGTGTGATGCACATGCACAAATGCAAGAAGTGCACATTTTCTTTTTTGTTTTCTATTCTTTCTATTCTTTCTCTTCTTCTCTTATGCTTTCTTATTCTGATTCTTTTTCTTTTCTTGCTCATTCTTTCTTATTCTTTGCTAATCAGACTCGGTTGACGCATGGATTCGAAACCCTGGCTGTGTGAGTGTATTCTTCTTTCTTGGGTACAACCCTCATCCACATGCACTCTTACGGGCTATACCAATTTCTCTTCTTATCCTTAGGCCGCTCACTGAAGGCGGCGTGCATGCGGGGAAATTCTTCTTGTCACCCACGGGTTCCGCATCGCAACAACCTGTTCTTTTCTTCTTTTAGAGCATTCTTTAATAACTTTTCTTTCTTTCTCTTTATTCTTTAAATTCTCGTACATATGTATATACATGTATGTAGATGGCTCATGCTCATTATTCTATATAAATGGAAATGTTTAAATGCAAGGATGCCATGTAGCATAACAATCAGTTTCTCTCTACCAGCTACAAACTCATTTCAATTCATAAATGAATAAAACTCACGCATACACTTCTCTTGGACATTTCATCAAACATATTGCATGCATAATTAAACTCTAATTTGGCTACAATTCTATTTCATTCTCAAGCCACTAATATTTGGAGTAAAACTCCCTTAAACAATTATTAAACCTGTCCAAAACAATACACTCCCACAAACTTCTACTCAACTCTTTCTAACTTCAACCAAACTTCAATTAATCATTATACAACCAAAACCACTTCTCATGGCTAAACTTTACCATCAATAATCATAAAACTCATCAATAATTCATCAATAATTCAATAATTCTCAAAATCATAAGCATATACATATATGTAAAATCTCTACACACTTGATTTCTCAAATCATAACTTGGGTNATAACCAAAACCACTTCTCATGGCTAAATTCTACTCATCAATAATCATCAATTTCATCAATAATTCTCAAAATCATAAGCATATACATATATGTAAAATCTTTACACACTTGATTTCTCAAATCATAACTTGGGTTTGATTTACTTATCTTGTGCTTGAGTAATTCCACTAGAATCTTTCTTTCTTTAGTAGACTTGTTCTTTCTCTAAACCCCTAAGCATAAACACTATGAGAATTCAACACTTTTAAAAAATTAATCTCACATCTATTGCAAGAATTCTTACCTTTGGGTGCTTAGGATCAAATCTCTACCAAAATCCAACCAAAAGCCCTCTAAAATCTCTTGGAAATTTGATGAAGAGATGAGAGAAATTGAGAGTGGAAGTGGCGTGTGGGGTGGAGAGAATGATAGGGTCTTTGTGCTTGAACCCTTAATATCTCATATAATATGCATTCTTTCCCATTTTGCCCTTACACTTTATAGAAAATTCCATCTTTGTCCCTTAGTAAAGTACAAAAATGCCCTCATCACCATCGCATTCTTCATAAAATTTCATTACTTTTCATTCCCACATTTTCAACTAATTAGGGGTAGAATGGTCACTTTGCCCCTAAGGAAGATTTCTCTAGAATTTCCTTAAGAATTACAGTCGACTCTTCGCCTCGGCGAAAAATTCCAAGGCATACGTCGACGCAGCGAAGTTTGCGCTTCCCAAATTTTCAACCTTTCACCTTAAAGCAAGCAACACTAAGGGTAACCAAGCAAAACTAAAGGGCATACAAACATAACTAAGGGCAAACAAGTAAAAACAAGCTACGTACCTCAATGTAGGCGTTACAGGGAGGTTACGGGTTTTGATGTGGGGGTTGAAGGGATTGTAATGGTGGTGTTGGGAGGGGTCCACTGCGTCAAAAATAGGCTGGAATGGCGTGAAATTGCCGATGGGGTGAATTTGAGAAGTGACGGGTTATTTTGAAAATTTTCGGTGGGGTGAATTTGAGAAGTGACTGGTTATTTTGAAATTTTCATCTTTGGAATGACCATTTAACCCTTTTAGTTGTTAGATTAAATAGTTTTCTGTTAATTTAAGAGTAAGAATCTGCGATTTATGAAACCGGGGGTAGGAATTGCAAATTTGCCAAACTTTGGGTGGGAAAATGTTGTTTACTCTTTTTAAAGTCAATCTATAGATGATTATAGTTATTATAGAATAAGTTACACCAATTTTAGACTAAGTCTAATACAATTTGATGTTATGTTATATTATACAATTTTCTTTTATACTATGTAATATTGCACGCCAAAACAACCTTATATTAAAAGTATATCAAATCACTCATTGGAGATATTATGTCTTATTTTGCCCTACCTTAATAACAAACAAATATAAAATTATTTTTGACATTCATTTTCTTAATATGCACATATAAATATCAATAATGATTGACTTACAACCCAATCTTATAAACTTTCTTACATAACTCTAACGTGACAGTTAACAATTGAGCAGATAGAACACGTTATGAGTTGATAAATTATGAGTTATTACGTCGATATTGTAAAAGAAAAATTATGAGTTTAGGTTGTAAATGTTGACGTAATATTACCCTATAAATATAAATTTTATAAATGTTTAACGGAGCGAAAAAGGACAATGAAAGGCCAAATGTGGGCGCCATTACGAAACTTCCAAGCTCGGCCCACCACACCTCTCAGTTTCACTAAACACCAATTTCAATTTTTCAAACCTCACCCTCTCCACTTAAATGAAGTGAAACAAGCGCAAACTTCTCTGCTGCAATTCCAAACACAATGAAGGGAATGCTAATTTACAATATATACAGAACGCTGACCTACAGTGTATCGCCCTTGGTGTACCTTCACCTCCGTTGGCGAAAATTCCGAGGCCTCGGGCACCCTCGCCGTTGGCCAGAGCGTTTGGGCCATCCATCTGTGGCTCGCCCCACGGGCCCGCTCCTCTGGTTCCACGCTGTCTCTTTAGGTTCCGTATCTATACTTAAATTAAACTTACACCGTGTTGCTTTGCTTTTATGAAGCCAATTATAGGTTTCAATTAATATTTGTGTTATTTATTTGTTAATTAGGTGAAGGAATGGCTGCCATTCCTGTAATTAAACATTGCCATCGGTTAAGGCCTGATTTAACCATTCTGATGACTACTGCTACATACTCTGCTTTGTAAGTGCGTTTATTTTTCTTCTGTAATTGAACCTTATAAGTAAACTTATCTTGCTTGCAGTTCAAGCTTTAATGTAAATCGAGTTTTTAATTGAAAAATAAAATAGAAATCTTACTGGGGAAAAAAAAAAAAAAAAACAAAAAACCTTTATTTGAATAATAGGCAAAATAAAAATCATGATAAACATTTTTTTAAATTGGTCAAGATCTTTTTTAATGTTTTACTGTTATCAAAAACCTCCAGTGTTCCTAAATTCCAAACAAGGGATTTTTTCGGTAATTCTATTTGAGGCCTGTCTGGACTTTTATTTTGTAGGCATGTAACTAAATGAATGAGAGTACTGAATTTAAGCAAAAGAAGTGAATTGGAGTCTGAATGGAGAATTTTGATCCCAGGTGTGAGTTTGTTCATGTTAAAATGGGTAAAATGCAAGGCAATGTTGGTAGAGGTTGTAAGCGATGTACAATCTGGTTGGAGAGACTCAAAACTATAGCGAAGTAGTGCTCACAAAACATGTAGTCCACTTCACAATAGCTTGAATCTGATAACTTTGACAAGCTTCATTAGGATGGGTGGTTGCTCAGCTCAAAAGAGTAAAATGTTACTTGGAGTGGTCATCCTTCTTATACTATGACTATTAATGGATCCATGTGGAATTCCTAGACTTTTACAAGCAACAACATTGATATTGCAAATAGTTTATTCTTGACTCTTAAAATGCAAGAGCTTTAATCTATGTTTTGCCATCCTTACTAGTTTAAGTTTTTAGTTCTAACAGTTACTTAAAATGTTATCAAAGCTAAGGTCCTTAGTTTTAATCCCCATGTATCAGATTCTACACCCTTAGTTTGAATCCCCATGTATCACCTTCTACATCCTTTTACATCTCTCTATTTGAGCTTAACTGCTATTGTTGCCTTCACCAACAATTTAAGAGATCAAGTGGTTATTTAATTTGGAGTGTTCTTGCTTCATTTT